AGGCCGCGCGGCTCGTGTCGTGCGCGGGAGCAGCAGCTTTTAACGGATTTCTCCCCGCGGGGGAACCGCGGTGGCGGATGCGTCCTCCCCGGCAGGCCCCTTAGCCAGGCAGCGCGTTGGCTTGCGTGCCAAGCCCTCCGTGACTACCTTTCCAGAGCCCCTTCCTCACCTCCGTTCCTAAGTTGCAGTCGTTCAAATGCAAACCCTGCCATTAACAGCAGCCTGGTGTCTGGAGCTCTCTTCGTGGGTTTCATTTAAAAAACGGGATTTTTTATTTATTTTGTGTGTGTGTGTGTGATGGGATGAAAACTGCGTAAAAAATCATTCTGCGTAAAAACGGTGCATAAAAACCGCAGTGGTCCTTCCAGTGTGCCCTCTGAGGAGGGCTTGGGGTTAGACTCCTAGGAAAGGGCTGCTTGTGGCATGCAATTGGTCTTATTTTTGTTTTGCTTCATGAATACATCTAGTGTTGCATGGGGAAGGTTCCCGTGCTTGGTTAGCAAGCAGTGACATAGTTGAATCTTTGCCTATGGTCTTCCTGTAACTACTCTTGCAATCTTTTCACAACAGCCAAGACTGTGAATCATGTTGTTTGGGGGAGTGCTAGGTTTGGTCATACCCAGCCCCTCTTGGTCAGTCAGCTTTTGCTCCTCTATGTAACAGTACAGCTCTTGGAAGCGGAAAGGATTAGCTGGTAAATATTTGTGCCAGCTTGAGCAGTGCTGCTGTCTAACGTGAAACATCAGTCTGAGGGCTCTTCCTTTCCCTCTTCCTTTTTCTGTTCCTAAAGCTGTGATCTCCTAGTGAAGATGAATGTACCCTTGTAACTCTGGTTAGTTATCTTTTTGCTCTGTAATCGTCAGAGCAGTCCCCAGCTTATTGAAAGTAAGCTCTCAAAATGGGATATAAAACCTCTACATTGAAAAAAAAGTTTGCAGTTTATCCAAAATATTTCTAGGTGTTGAAAAGTATATAAACAAAGCTTTTTATGTACAGATAGAAGTGTTCAGAGAACTGTGCTTTAATTGTAACGTGAGATAAAACATGTAATAACTTTATTACTTTTTCCCTAGGTAATTCTGGAAGCTATGGACATACTCTTCAGAATACGAGGAGGCTTGGATCTGGCATTCCAACTTGCAACTACTGATGGTATGTCTGTAAGACTATCATAGGTTTCCTAATTAAAGTGTGGTATTTATATAGAGCTTAATTAACTACCTACAATGGTGGGGTGGGTTTCTTTTGGCATTTCACCCCACATATTAAGTGCTTCTTCCTAACCCCCTGAGGATGAAGTCCAAAGAGTACTATTTTTTCTCCTCTGTCAACCTTCCTTCCACTATGTTTTTAATTTGAACAATGCTGAAATTAACATTTTAGGCCATTTTATTTACATATTTGTACTGCTTATAAACTCTAGTATTGGAATCACTTCCACATGATCTGAGACTTGATCCAAACATTGTGGACCAGTCCACTAGACAAACAGAGATGATAAACTAGCTGACTAGTTACTTTACTAAATTTAGGCATGGTTGGCTACTGCAGTTGAAAGTGATAACAAAACCACATGTCATTAAGAGGCTTCTCTAGTTCTTCATCTTTGCCATAGTGTGGATTTCACCTCAGAAAATCTGCTTAAGGCTATCCGTGGTTCCCTATCGTAGGGAGGAGTGCAGGACTCCTTGGGGCAGACAAGGGCACCTATAGCTTTGTGGTCATTCTGTGTTTAGATGAATAAGTCTTCGCTAGAAATTCTTAAATTCATTGTTAATGATACTTGGAATTTCAACTTTAATCTCAGTTGATGATGTGGAAGGGAAGTGTTGAATAAATTAGCCTAAAGCATAGTAATGTTTTTTTTTGCATCCTCAAGGAATGCCCACACCTTTGGCTTTGTTTACTGAGTAGGGAATTTTAACCATAGTGAAGCAGAGTGATGGAGTCAGTGCAGCATAATATTCTACTAAATAGAGAACACTGCAGTGTGTGAATATGACAGATCACTTGGAAGACAATCGGGTCTTCCTTCTGGAAGAGACTTAGATAAGTGGGGTGTTTTTTTTTGGAGGGGGGGGCGGTTCTGGATATTGGTAATTGATCTCCTCAATGAGAAAAACAATGCTGATAACGTGCAAAAATTCTCAGTTGTATCCAGTATTGGTTGAAGTTGTAAGTAATAGGTTCAAATGCTATGAAGTCAAATGAAGTTCTCAAAGACAAGAATCAATAGCAGTAAGTAAAAACACAGGCTGGCCAGTGTGTGACTTGCTTACAGGTGTATGTTGGTTAAAATTAGGTCTACTCTTTAAGTGTAGGTCCTGTTTTTCCAAAAACTTAATATGCTTTAAGTTTACATTTTTGGATAGTGATACAGAGTCAGTAAGATATGAGTAAAACTGAGTCTTAACAAAATTTACTCAGAAATAAAAATACAAGCATACAGAGAAGCGTCTGTTCAGAGATATCTACAGAGATGTCTACACCTAGAAATTTGTCTGAAATTGAAGGCATGGTTAGTTACTGATTTGAGAATCTGCTACAATGTAGGTTATTCTTCTGTGTTTCTGTCAGCTCTTTGTATTTTACAAGGTACTATTAGAAATATTAGACTTTTATTCATGCAGGTGTGAATGCGAATGCTTGAAACAGACATGTTAGGAAAAAGATGAAATCTTGATTTTTGTTTACATAGGCATTTTTCCGATTGTAAGAAAGCTTAATTTGCTTGCAAAGTCAAAACACACCACTTTTAAATGTATATCTAGCAACTATCATAAAACAAGAGAATTTTCTAAGCTAATTATGTCCTTACTCTGTTTTAGAGGCATCAACAAAAGAGGCATTAAAGTATATTTTCAGTGATCTTGCAAACAAACTGTCTTCAGATGTTCTCGTATTACGGATTTGCCACAGCTCCGTCTACGTGTGGCCAAACAACGGCATGAACACTGTGCCATCAGAACTGACTGATGCCTCTGCTTGTAAGGAGATAATACGATTTATACAGTAAGTATATTAAATACGTATATATGTGTATACTTGTAAGACATTAATTTCATGTTATAGAAACTCTTTCTCTATTGATGCTTAGATATGATCATGATGATGAGACCAGACGAAAGCTTGGCAAAAAGAAGGATAAAAAGTTACAAGATACGGTACGTGCCCCACCACACTAATAAGTTATAACAAGCAACAAATCATTTGCCCAGAGAGGTTGTGGAGTCTCCTTCTCTGGAGATCTTCCAAACCCGCTTGGACGCAGTCCTGTGCCACGTGCTCTAGGTGACCCTGCGTGTGCAGGGGGTTGGACTAGATGACCTTTAGAGGTTTCTTCCAGCCTTAACCATTCTGTGATTTGAAAATCACTAGATCTGCTTTCCATAACCTTCTCTGCACAGGTAGACATTTGCATGACAGATGAAGCTCTTTAGAATCACTGAGTTTCAGCATTAATGCAAAGATCTATCTACAACAGATCAGCGTATAGAAATTTTGATTTTTAACACTGTTACTTTTTTATCAAATTATTTCTTTGTTGAATTGATTATAATCACCATATATAATTCATTTTGCCTTATTGGTGCATGTGTTGTTGGAGGTGTAAATTTGGTGTCTTTGTTCTTTGCAGCAGCAGCAACAGATAGTCAATATAGACCTGATGTTAGAGATGACATCTTCATTAGCTCCTTTGGCTCCAGTCATTGAACGGGAAAGCAAAGAACACCACTATGTTAATATGACCTTACCAGTTGATGTTGTTGTATCGATTTCTCCAGAAGAAACTTGGGGAAAGTATGTATGATTCCGAACTCACGACTTTTCAATTTACTTTCATTCGTGCTTTTTTCCTGAAAATGATAGAGTAAAGCTATTACATTCTTAACCCGTTCATTAAAGTAGCTTATAGTATTTTATATAGGTGGAATTTGACTGTATTTACAGTAGAATTTGAGATATTTTCAGTCTGGTGAATGGAAGTATGACCTTACAGAGCTTTGGGAGAAAAGATTAAGCATCATTGTTCTATTTCATAAGTACTCTCCCTTGTACTTTCCAGTGTACGGAATCTCCTGGTGAATGCAATTCACAGGCAATTAACTGACATGGAAAGATGTATCATGAAATACAGGAAGGGAACATCAATTGTGGTACCAGAACAATTTCATTTCATGTTACCAGGAAAAAATCACCTTGTAACAATCTCATATCCTACAGGTATTTCAGATGATCAACTGGAAAGTTACAGAAAGGTAAAGCTTTTCATTTAGCTGTTGTGGTATAAATATTAACAGATGCAGGTTTGTTTTAACTATTATTATAACTGAAACAGTATACTGAATATGTAAGCTTGACTTATTGAAGAGTATTTTATAAAATATATCAGAATTTTTTTCTTTATAAGGGTACAACAGAGACTTTAAAACCACATGGGATTTCTTTTAGATAGACTTTTATCTACAGTAGTCCTTTCTGGTCTTTTTTGGTAGTGAGTGTGTTGGATTCTCCCTTTCCACTGTTGTGTTCAAGGTTACTTGTGCTTTATTTCCTAAAATCTTCAGCTGGTTGCCTGAGGGGTTTAGGATTTTTTCTTGTGCTCTATGGATAAGGGACTTTAGCTATGTTGTTGTTCCTTTTTTTTTTTTCTTGTTCTGTTTTGTTTTTTCTTCCTTTGGACCACCAGTGGTTGGCACAGCTAGAAGAGGTTATGATGTGGCACAAAGATTAATTTTGGATGGATGACTGGTAATCAGGCAGATACGGCTACAGTCGCAGTGTTTCACATACCAAGAGCAGGGGAAGAATCTTCTAGCTGGTTAGATGGAGAGAGGGTTTGGGGATTTTTCATTTCCTTCTGCACTCATCTGTGTGTATCAGGCCTAATCTATTCCTTGCCTTGGGCCCCAGACAATGGTGGCACATAAATCTTCCCTGCTTTCTGTCTCTGGGTTGTGCAGTTTTATCTAGTGATTCCTGAAGTGTAATCTGTAACTAACGTAATTGGTTTCCATGTTGGGTCATCTGAGGGAAATGTATTTCCTGTGATACAGAGGCAATCCTAGATGATCTTATCATTCCTTTTGTCCTTACACTGGGAAGTAAGACAGCATATCTCTTGATATTGTTGCTGTGTTGTAAATAGTGCTGAAGACATTTAAGAAGCAATTAAATCTGCTTACATTCAGAGACTAGCTCTTTCTCTTTGTCTCAGCATATGCTTATTCATATGTCTTTAATATTATTAAAGATTTAAATTCAGTGTATATACTATACATGGAGATATATATATACCTTTTCCAATATGGTGTATTCTACCATGTTTTCGATTTGTCATGAAATCTTGAATGCAGCACCAGAAAAATGGGCATAAAGTAACAGGGCTAAAGAATGAGCTCTTTCAGATAGGAGGGAAGCCTTGTGACGTTCGTCAGAGGTGAGGTCTGCTAGTAAACATACATGCTGAATATTAGTGGATTAAAAACTGTTTAATTACAGTTGTTAACGTATATATTAAAAGTCTGTTATGACATTATTATTAGTTCAAAAGTATTGTTAACTTTAATCCAAAATTTGAATTGTGTTCTTCATTTTATTCTAACTTGCGTGTAGGAATTACATGGGTTGTTCAATCTGCCATGCGACAGACCATATTTCAAGAGAGCGAATGCTTATCATTTTCCAGATGAGCCATATAAAGATGGATATCTCAGAAATCCACATGTACACCTTAATCCCCCTGGTACAGACTCTGGTGTGGTAAGTTGCAGTTGAAACATTTGTGAGAAAGTTTTATTTATTTATTTTACTTGAGATTTGCTAAAAGAAATAATTTAATGAATATTTTTGTTTGTTTGCTGCAAAAGAATGTACACTATTCTAATGCTTACCTCACATTTTAAATATGTATTTTTAAAGTTTTTCAGAACCAGGACAAATAAACTAAAGTGGTGAATGTGGTGATATTTAGGAGATAGGAAAGGAGGAGTGATTGTATGTGATTTACAAACCTTCAATTTTTTCAAAGATCCATAGTCCTCAGTTGAAAGCTGTCACTATGCAAGTGACATAGATAAATTGCTTCTCTGAACATGGATGCAAGTGGATTAAGTGCAGTTTATTTATTTGTTTATTTATTTGTGTGCAGGTTTATTTAGTACATGGCATATACAGTTACCATCACTATATGCAGGATCGCATTGATGACAGCGGGTGGGGCTGTGCCTATCGCTCTTTGCAGACTATCTGCTCTTGGTTCAAGCACCAAGGTTACATGGATGCAGCTATACCAACACACAAGGAAATTCAACAGGTACAAATGAAAATTCTGCAAATTAATTGTAATTTATGTATATTTAATTGCTTAGAAAAGTTTCTGTAGGTTACCGTATTTTTAAATATAGAAGTAATGTATTTTGAGACTTCAGAATTGTGTTGGTATATTTAACTCACCTGTTGAAGTGAACTGTAGTACTTCTGAGTTGTTACTTTTGACAAGTTTTATTGTAGGAGATGCATTTCCAACAGTTTATCTATACAGGTGAGATTCATTAAAATAGTCTTCTAACTATTTCCTTGGATTAACACTGCATTAGAAACGCAGATTAGAACACATTGTCACTGTTTTTGCCACAAGAAAGAGAGCAAAGAACCCAATCCATCAGACTAAAAGCAGTTTTAAAACTGACTTGTCTAATCCAGTTACAGCTGGATTAATGCGCAGATGCTGTGTATTAATTCACTGCATTCTTTTGCAACTTTGTCAATAAGAGCATTTTTTGAACGCTCTTATTTTTCAATTCATATTTTCTTCTGCAAATTCAAATGCACATCTGTGTATGTTTAGTTATGTTACCACTCCTGAGCCAAAACTGAAGAAGTTGGGTAGTTAGTGTTGAGTACCTAGGAAAAAGCTCTGCATTTCTTTTTTCTTGTAAATTCAGTGCATTATATTAAATTTATTTAAAGTTTTAGCAAAGCCTGTTTAATCCATAAGAGGACTTGCATCAATAGCAATGTAAGCACTTAAGTAAAATTTGCAATTTCATAAACATTTTTTAGTCCTTACCTAAATCATCTTATAGTATTTTAGACTCCTAGAAGAATTCGTTGGCCTTCGGCCCCTTCGTGGGCTGTGTATGGACGGAGCAGAGAAAGCCCTTCTCTGCAATGCTGTATGCAATGTGCAAGTCTCCAAGAACAGAGAAATTTAAAATAAACCCCTACCCTCCATGTATTTTGTTTTGGTGGCATCTTCTTCAGGATACTTTTTGGGGGGGATCTAAGATATTTTGAATAGTTATCCAGGTACTTTGAATAGCTGTCCAGGTGCTTAACCCTTTTCAGTGACTCTTGGGATGTAAATGATGCACTTAAATAATAGGGGATCATCATCCCAGTTCTGAGTCCATTAGTGGAGCCAGACTTGCACTGGGGGCTTTCTGGCCTGTGCTGTGTTGTGTCTTCAAGCGACGCCTCCAAAACAGGAATGCACCGTCCAAATTCAGTATCTGTCTGTCTGCTTTTGACCAGTCCTTTTCAAACCATGTTCTGTATGGTTAAGCTGATCCTGTACGTTCATGAAAAATGCTGGGATTGCCTACTGTATGGTGTAGTTTTTTTTTTTTTTTTAATGTTAAAGGCACTGGTTGATGCTGGAGACAAACCAGCAGCATTTGTTGGCTCACGGCAATGGATTGGCTCTATTGAGGTACAGCTCGTTTTGAACCAACTTTTTGGAATAACATCAAAAATACTGTTTGTCAGGTAAGAATCTGTATCAGTTTAATAGGTCGATAATGTTAAAGAGACTGGATGTTTTAGGATGCTAGATAGCTTTGTAGTACATGGGATAATAGGGATAATAAAAGGGATCGTTTATGTCTGACAGGACATTTTAAGGTTTCCTTGTTCATAAACTCCCATTTTTGCTTTAAGATGTGCTGAGGAAAGTGAAGCTGTTTACAAGCTAAGGTGTTCCTGAAGCTAAGGAGTTCCTGGGCTTCAGGTTCAAGTTTGCAGTTCCTATGAATTGCTTAATGACATGCAAAATGTGGAATTTGGCCAATTTCCCTTGCATCAGAAACAATTTTTGTAACAGGCACACACAGGACACCCTCCAGGGCATAACGAATTGAATGCACATTAGCAGTAAACTGTTAGTTCATCCACAGAGCTAGCCCTTTAGTTCAGCAAATTTTTGAGCAGCCTGGAAATAGTAGTGTCTATTCTGGTTTTGCATGACAGATAAAATAAGGGATTTGTTCTCACTCGGAAAATTTTATACACAGTAAAGACCCTACACTTATTTCTGGGAGGAGAAGAATAATGTTCAGTATTTATCTGAAATGGGATTACTGGACTGCTGCTCTTTTGTCATCTAGATAGCTATAAGCAGACCAAAAAATCTCAGTGTGTTGTGTTGAAAAATGCAATAATGGAATCGAGAAGAATATTAATAATATAGCCTGAAAGAAAACTCTAGTCAAACAAGATACTACTCATGAGTTGTAATTATTTAGACTATATTCTGCTGTGGATATTCTAAAAGGGGATATAACCACAGTGATAGTGATTCCTAGCATGAGGAAAATAGTTTTTCTTCAATATTTTGTAAAGTTTTATACAACCAATTTTCATCTTTTTGTTCCAGAGCTTGTATTTGTAGATGATCCACCTGCTATTTATAGCAGCTGTGTCAGACCAGCTCGTGCAAAGGCTTTTATCCCTGTGTATAAGAATATAGGGGCTTTTGTGAACGGGGGGGAGCTGCTCAGCGTGCTGCCGTGAGGGAGCCCCGATGTTTTTCAGGATTATAAAACACTCCCATGCTGAGAGGAGAGATGTCATGCAGCCTGATAGACCTTTTAGAGCTGGTCACTGAGCTGTCTGTGGAAAGGATTTTCTCTCGGGCACAATTCCGGCTAGCACCTCACAAACTCATTATGGAAATAGTACTTCACAGCTGCACCAGCAGGAGCAGTGCTGAAGCCAGTATTCCCAGAGTTCAGTATTGTCAGTATTGTACTCCATCTGCATTTAATCCCTCTGGCCAGGGATTTCATATAGATGAAGCAGTCACCTTGGCTTTCATAGGGTTTCCAAAAGATTTGACCATTATATGAAGAAATATAGAAGCAAATTAATAAAATGCATGTGTTTGTTTCCTTGTCTAGCCTCTGTCACCTTGTTTGAGAGTGCTGTCAGTCTTCCAAGGAGACCAATTCTCTGCCATGTGTCCTCACTTCCAAATCCTGGCATATGAGCATGTGTTGTGTGCGTGTGCCTTTCCTTTCCATATAGCCATACTTCCTTGGCTGTGCCTGGGACCCACAGTTGAAAAGGAAAGCTGGGAAATTAAACCTAGCTCAGGTCCATGTTGCTGTCACCAGGTTGCTAACAATAAATGAGAAAGCTGTTCTATAGCCAGTTTAGATGGACTGATTGCACTGCATTTGCTTGTGCAGTTAAAGTGGATGCGCCTCTTAAGCCACGTCATTATTAACCCCCTTATCAGTACATCATTTTTGTTACGTTTACGATGAAGGTCTGTTACTCCAGACTTTCACTTGCTGACAAATGCGATGGTCAGTTTTCCAGCCACTTGAAGGGAGATACAGGGGTTACAAACTGTCTGACAAGCAGCAGACACGTGGTAGGATCTGGGGGACTCCAGGTGCTTTGGTGGCTGCTCAGGTCACAGCACCTTCATGGGCTCAACTGGAATCTGTGACTTGCATAGATTTTTTTTTTTTTTTTTTGCGCAAATTATTGCAGGAGGTTTTCTTTTTTGTTCAGTTGTTTTAACCTGCTGAAAAAAATAATCTAAGCCACTATGTAAGCAGCTATCTACCTTTTTAGTTAATTAGCATGTTGGATAATTAGGAAGTAAAGCCTCATGAAGATGAAAACTCTAATGCTATATTTCTTCCCTAGCCAGGGTTCTGAACTAGCTTTGCAGGGAAGAGAACTTGCTAACCATTTCAGTACAGAAGGAACTCCAGTTATGATTGGTAAGTGTTTGGTTCCTGAAGAATGGCAGTGTGTGTTTTACCGCTGTTTTCAGCGTGTGTTTACAATTTCATTTTAAGCAGAATTGATTCGGTTTACAAGATTTAATCAGGAGTCCAGATGCAATAAAATTCTCGAGTATTTTGGCCGATCCGAGTATTAAACCTGGTAACAGCAGTCAGGCTGAATGGTATTCTTAAAAATTACCTTGCAAGTCAGAACGTCAAGTGAATGGAGGTTCCTATAATTCCCACCTAGCTTTCCACCACAGAGTGGTAGTGTCAATCTAGTTTAGAAGAGGTGGGTATTGTTCCTCATTCAAATTATTTAAGACCAGGATACATATTTAAATACTTAAAAATGTTGATAATGTACTGTTTTTAAGAATACCTTAATTTTAATGGTCACGTTCCCAGGATAAGCATGGTTTAGAAAATGAAGAATAATAGCGAAAGTATCATTTTCATCTCTGATATTTTAATTAAATTCAGTGTGGTCTTGATAATAAGCAAGTATGGAATTGACAGTGCCATTCAGGTCAGGCTGTTTCCAGAAGTAGAAGAAACTGTAATGACCTAAATTTTTCTGTTCAGCTGCCCAGAAAAGGAGTCTCTTTTTTTTTTTAATGGGTGAGAACCAATTATATGGTGCCTGTGCTATCCAAAGACTTTTTCCATTCTTTTGCTTTAGCAGTTTGTTTTTATTGTACTTTATCATTTGGCTTCTTGTTATCATTCCGTATGTAACTGTGTTTCCCTTTGGCTTTCTTTCCCTGCCCCACCAGGAGTTGTCCCTGAAATACAATAGGCTGGTTATCAGTAAGAGTAAATGAACAAGGCAAATTCTAATTTCCTGTGCTTAGTTTTCAGTCAGTGCTTTTTATCCTTCAATGACTTGAAGTTTCCTTGTTAACACAGTAGCTAAAGTCTTAGTCTCATGTTTCCCAGATAGGTTTGGTTTATGGGATCTCCAACTCACCTCATGTACTTTGAGAAGTATGCTGTCTGGATACATAGTCCGGATGTTTGTTTGTTTTATTTTTTCAGGAAACTTCCCTCTCCTTCAGCAGTTCCTAGCTGGAAATCTGTACAGTGTTGCTTTCTCAAATTACAGAGATGCCAAAAGTCCAAAAGTTCAAATTCAGTATGAAATGTTCTTGATTTTATTAACAGCCTCTCTCTGAACTCCAGGAGTTTAGATCCTATATTAAAAATATTTTAATCTGCAACTTCCCCTGTCAGGAATTGCAAAAGTACCATAAGAGGTTCTCCTGTGACTTTGTTTTTTTGTTTTGTTTTGTTTTTTTGCTAATCTGTTGCGAGCAGTCTTCACTGCAATAGCCCAAGGAAGTCACTCCCGATGCTAGCAATTGTTGGAAAAGAAAACATGGAAGAGTGGAACTGTAACCTGCTCTTCAAAATGTCTCCTTTCCCTGTCTGTAGGAAGTGGAGTCGGAAATTACTTCTTTACTTCTAATGTTCAGTTTTGGAATTTAGTTGAAAACAGCAGATTCTCTTATCCAGTAATTCTGCTTTATGTTCTAATTTTAGTTCTTCTACATCCAGGAATTTTACTCATTTACTCATTTTCTACATTTAAGTTTCTGTAAAGAAAAAGTCAGCTACCCAGGTATTTGAAATATGCTTCACTTCATCTGGTGGAAGTGCTGAGAATTTAACTTGCCATGCTGACATGAAAGAAATTTGGAAAGTAAATTCTCTAGGTTCAGTAAGTAAAGTTAAGTAAAAATTAGTAAATTAATTTAGAAATAATATTGTTTAACAGTAGGAAGAATTTTACATAGTACAGCCTCAGAATCATTTTGATAACCAAGCTAGGGCAATCTTTTAATAGCAAACATGGGCATTGTTACATAGTTGCATTTTATCTCAGTGAAAATTCTGAGCAGTTTGTTTTCATCCCATTCAGGTGGAGGTGTTTTGGCTCACACAATATTAGGAGTGGCTTGGAATGAGATTACAGGGCACATAAAATACTTGATTTTAGATCCACATTACACTGGAGGAGAAGATCTGCATGTTATTTTGGAAAAGGTGAGACATGTGCATATATGTGCATATATATATATAAATATATAAATGTGTATATACACACACTTGCACGTTTTGACATTAAATAAATGCATATAGCCAGAGAGGAGTGGAAAGAGCTTATGTAGGAGTTGGCCTTTCTTTAGCTCCTCAGTTCCTTGTAGGGGAGGAATAAGAAACTGATTCTAGGTAGTTTGTGCTATACAAATTTGCTTACAGTAGAAAGAAAAGTTCTTTACTTTCTCCTTGTATTCAGTAATATGTACAGTAAATATATTTTGATTGTAAGAGAAAAATCTACTCAGCTTGTAAATTGCTGTTACTGTTTAGATTTTTAAAAAAAGAGCATACCAATACTCAGCATTGTCAAATCAGTCTAAAAGGCAGTTATTGAGATGTTCTGCAAATCAGGGAGAATTCTGAAGAACTAATGAGTTAATATTATTTTCTTTAGATATGATTACCTGTCCTGCAGATTACTGACAATAAACCTAGTGTCAGAAACTTAAAAGCAGGAAAGGGGCTAAGTACCTCAGACTTTAATTTGTCATTTTTTTCTTCACTGTTCTTGAAGTTGCCAGTAGTGACTTCTGTGTCTTTGGTAGCCTTGTGACTAGGACCCAGTTGAAAAGCTGCTGAAATGTTTTGGTAGCCCCATAATAGTCAAGCTGGAAATAGATACAAAAAGAAGTAATCAGCTTTTGCAGCGGCATTTTAAGAGGATGAGACATACACAGAATTCCTTATTTAGTGAAACTACATTTGCTTTCTGCCTATTACTAAACAAGGGCCTGAGTTTAAGGAAGGCTGTCATCAGCATTTCCTAGTGGTCAGGACTGACCATGTGCGTATTTAACACACAGGCTGTCTTGAGCTCTTGTTCTAAGGCACACAATTCCTGTATTATTTGTGCAGTTAGGTATTCTAATGCCTCACCACAAGGTGCCTGCCAGTGCGCATGTTGGTTATGGAATAGCTTCCATAAGAAGCATTGAATCTGAAAGCCATTGCTCATATTGATCAAAGAACATGTGAAAAAAAAAAAAAGTAACTTAAAAATATTTGACAAAAGTAACCTCATGAGTAACTCGGCAGAACTTTTGAGGACTTGAGATTCTGTAAAGTGCTTTCCATTAATGTCTTTCTAAGAATGTACTTTCTGAAAATTAGGTGCATCACACAGCATTCTATAAATATCTGAAAATAATTCATATGACTCAGATTAAAATTAGTTAAATAGAACCCATAGTAGCAGATATGAAAAACAGAAGTCATAGTAGATTATTAATTGCATCTCTCTTTCTTGTGCAGGGTTGGTGTGGATGGAAGGGCCCAGAGTTTTGGAACAAGGATGCTTATTATAACCTGTGTCTACCACAGCGACCAAAAACTATTTAAATTCTAATCTTATGCTGAAACATGCTGAACCAGAATACTAGCTGATCAGGATATAACTGTCTTGTTATTTATGTTGTATACAGAAGATTTGGATAAAGCTTTAAGTCAAATTGAAATATTACTTAAATAGCTTTAAATTAATAAACTTAAGGAAAAAATGAAACCTTTAAATATAATGGAGCTACTGTGAACTGTATTTCTGTACAAATAGATTCATTAAATAACAAACAGTTTTCTTTTGACTAGGATAAAAATTCTATAAATATGAAGTTGTTATGCTAAAAGACTTGCGCTTTTCAATTTAATTCTATGAAATTTTCTTACTAGAAAGATGAACTCTATCATTCAGATTCCACACAGCCACCTGTATTGTGCTGTGTGGTCCATATTCAGAGGCACTGTTTACTGCTTTTATTGTAGATAACAGTGTTTTGGATGAGGGGGGAAGGAGAAGAATCATTGCACACACTCCATTTTATCTACTTTGTTTTCATAGTTGTAGACAAAAAAGTACAAGAGTAAGTTGTTATAGGCTCATTTATTTATAGCTGTGTAAATAGAACTATTCTAGAGAGAAAAATCAGTCCTTTTTGAGAAGTAAGCATGAAGCTTTCCTTCTTCTCAGAAGGAGACAGTGTAACAGCATCAATCAGGCTGCTCTGTTCATAGTCCAGTCATGTTGCTGCAGACTTCACATTCTCCTTAATTTCCTTTTGGGATTACAAGCTGTTTGTTTCGTCAGCTAGGCAATAACAACTGTCATATAAGCAAAGAGTGTCATCAAAACATTAGGATACAGCTGTTTGGCAGCAGCTGTGTCCCCAGAGAGTACTTAGGATTTCTTTTTTTCTATGTGAGAAGAGCTTTTTTTCAGTGGCATTCCCCACCCAATACAGTATTTTAACTTGACCTTAAATATGTATGCAAGATGGGGCTTGCTGGCAGGTAACTAAATCTGACTGCTCTCTAACTATTGCCAAATTGATGTTCTTAAACATTAAAATCATAAACTGTTGGATTAAAAATACTCTGAACTGCAGTAAGCCTGTGATCTTACGCACCATCTGATCTTCTCCTCTGCCTGCTACTGGATCCGGTAATTTCATGTTCTTGCTTTTGGGCAGCTAGATCTCCTCTCAGTGAGCCCTCTTTGTCCCTCAGTGTGTAGCCAGGCTGCTCCCTTGGTTTCATAGTTTGCAGGTGGTGAAATGTTGTGAGGAACTTGGCACATTCCACAAAGCTGTAAGCCAGGGCAAGGTCTGCTGCCATTTGTCCACTGTTGTTGCACAAACTAAAACACATAATTACCAGAAAGCACTAAATTAAATTGGGAAACATGTTAGCAACATGCATGGATCAGCTGGCAGGTTGAACAGAAGTACAAAAACAAGCACGAAGATTCAGCAACAGGAAGGGTTGTCGAGGATAGCGGGGGATCTAGTGATACTGAGGACTAGTGCTAACAGCATTAAGGAATAATTATTTTTAAATAAGCCTGTCACCAGGTTCTGCCTGGCTTAGGGTATCTGACATGAGCAATATGAGCGCAGCATTAGTCGGAATGGAAATTTATCAAGGAGAATCTACAATGAGTTCAGTCCCCTTAGCAGCTACTGTGAAGAGGTCTTTAATGTGGAAGGAAACAACAGCATAGGGTCTATATAACCAGCTTTCATGTGTATGGCGCTTCTGATATTGCTTTTAGGACTGCTGCTATCAACTGTACTCATATTTATTAGCATGCACAAGAAAGAAAGAACTCTGTAAAATCATGGTTTGTCAACTGATTCTGAAATGATTAAAAAGAGCTTAACTTACTCAATGTTGGCATCACCAGCTACAAGGAGAGCAAGACATTCCAAACTCCCAATTTTTGCTGCTTTATGAATTGGGGCTTCTCCAAGGCAATCCTAAAAATAAAAAACACAATATTTTATATGTAGCAATTATTTGAAGGAAGGAGAATAGCATGAAGCTTTCTGGTTCTCCAAGATCACTCCTTATGGAGTATTATTCTGATACAAGATTTTGAGTTGAAGAGACAAATAAAGGGATATAGCTAGAAAAGTGCACTCAGTAATTAAAATTAAATATGCTTAGTGTAGTCTGTTACTTTCCAAAAGATCATTTACACAGAATAGTCTGCACACTGACAACATCTTTCATCATTGTGCAGGGATTGCTGAGCAAGACAACTTGCTGCCACAAAAATTCAAGACATACAAGCAAATGGGAAAAAAATTGTTAACATTTACTGGAAGCAGGGTCAAAATTGAAGAGGAAAAGCAGAATAAAGTTCTGGTTTTGACATCTGCCAGAAACAATCATAAGCCAGCATTATAGCAAGTGTGAAAATCAGGTTACACTTAGCAATACAAAATAAGCTGAAGGCAGTACAGAGGGTTATTGGTTAAGGACGCGGGCACACATTTAAGGAGGATTTCTGGTTGATATTAGAATAAAGTTACTCTGAAAGAAGCAATCTCAGATACTTCCTGCAATACAGCCATCCATAAAAATCCTAAAATGAGTAAGTAAATAATGCATATTGAACTAAATGACATGCCAGATTACAAGCAGGAGAAACCAGTCTTCTGTACTTCTACCTGTTGGTTCAAATTAGCTCCTGTCTGTAATTGCCAAAGCAGGAAAAATGCTTCGCCGCCACAAGCAGCCAAGCGAGCTGGGGACTGACCAGAGGCATCTGCAGGTGCGTTCACAGCAGCACCTGCCTCAAGCAGGCTGCTCGAAATGCCAGCCTGAAACAAGATTAACAAGAGCATTATCAGCAGCCTGTTCCTGCAAGTCTGAAACTTGGACACTGCCTAACACGCAACATCTCCCTTGCAAATCGTTGTGCCTTTACCTTCCTTGAGAATGCGAACAAAAATACACAAGCATAGGTAGCTTTTAACCCTCCTCACTGGGAATACTGCCCCCAGCACGGCCCCAGCGGGGTGGGCAGCAGCTCCAGCTTAGCAAGACAGTGATGACCAACCACACGCCCCAGAGCTCCCCTCAGAACCACCACCCGGCACCAGCATCGCCTCTGCGCTTGGCCATGTGGCAACGAGCACGACAGCGGGGCCCTGCAGCGCCATGCAGTGCACTTCCCACGGCCAGGGAGGCTCTGCTGGGAATGGCCACACGTGCCAAGAGGGGCAGGAGTGGAACGCACAGCAGCCTGTGGAGAGCCCAAGTGGAGGCCTGTGGGAGGCCCTCTGGTGACCACGCAGGTCAGCAGAGCTCCCTGTTACATCTCTATTCAAGATACAAATAAAATTTTCATTTTTTTTCACTTTCTTGTGCCCCTTGGGGAGGACCAGGTGCTTCAGGTATCCTATACAAGAACTCTACCTACAGGTCTGTTTGTGCTGAAGGCCAAGGGCAGCCAGAGCCGTACTCAGAAACAGCTGCCATCAGAGAGAGACCCCTGAAAATTATTTCAGACATGGTGGCAGTGACCTTTCACTGTGAAAAGTGCTTTCCCTCAGCATAGGTTTAACATCCAGGGTCTGTTCTTGTTTGGGAAGGCAGGAGTGGAAAGGATTAATGCCCACACGTGGAGAAACCCCGTTCCTCACCACTGGCTGCTTTGAGTTGTTCCAAAACAGCCAAGTAGCTTCATTTTGCAGGGGCACTATCTTTGTTCAGATTGTGTTTAAAAGTGTAACTGCCTGCCCTTTCCACGCTATAAAATCCAATTTAGCAGGGGATTCAATTACAACTAATCATGCTTCACAGTTAAAAGCCTGGAGAGAAATGAGGTGCATTTTAACCCAGTCTCCAAGGTATGCAATTCTGTTTCCTTAGCAATATAGTATTTTCCTTGGTGACACATGCCTACTTGCTTGTTATGGAAGTTACTCAAAACCACCACCATCATTTTTAAAAAAGGGAAATCAACAGTCATTTGTTTTTTCCTCCTTTTCTTCTTCTTCTTTTTTTTTTAATAACATTGCATGGTTTTGATAAACATATTTAGGAAAAATAGGCTTAACAGTGTTCCTTTAGGGTGTAGGTAGTTCTGCAATGTATGCACAACCATTATGATAATTACCTGTTGCTTCTCTTTTAGGATAGAAAATATAAATCGTTTAAGCGCTGCAATGTCAGAATATACACTATCATTTTGTAAAGCTGCAGAATTCCAAGTAAACATGCAAAATATCAATTTGATGCAAGTGTTCCAGGGAGCAACAGGTTTCCTATCTCTTTTCACACCAAAAGAAAACACCTCTGTAATTGCCAAACTGCTGCTTTTTCCCGAGCAGCTAGCCAAGCAAATTAGCTAACAAACAAATGAACAAATCCCTGCAATTCTAATTACGCATTGTTGGGGCTGAAATACCTCTGCACAGTGCCAGGAATTCAAAGTTATTGTTTAAGCACCGGTAAGGACTCTGCTGGAGACGTATACACCTCGACGAAGCTTACAGAAGACTAAAGAGTCTTGGTTGGCCTCGGATTGTTTTGTTAAGCCCTTTCCTCCCTCGGCAGTTCATAGGCTTCAAGCTGAACCTCACACAAACAACACAAACAAGCCAACCTTTCCCGACCGGCCATCTACACAAACTCTGCTCCTCTCATTGTTAATTTGTCCCTGAACTTCCTGCCACTTTTTGCACACTCAGTAGGGCTTGCTGAACTCCCCTGCCCGCGCTACGCACACCACTTACAATCAACACACAGCTGCAGTGGTGTCCAAGTGTTTCAGACCACCAAGCCCAACTCGGGGCTGCCCAAGGGCAAGGCTCCCTGCTGCAGCTGTTCAGGAAGGCGCCTTGTTAAAATCTCCTGTTCGCTTAGTATCTCAAACCACGTATTTTGCATCGGTGTTGAGAAAATGGAATTGAAAAACTGGTTCTAATAAATGTGTGCAAGCAAGGGCACAAATCAGGCCGTGCTGTTGAATCTCACACAGGGAGCCCGCAGCACCAAAAGCAGCAATGCTGCTTGAATTGCCTTTCCTGGAGGTATCCTCACTTTCACCGAATGCTCTTCTCCTCTCTCGTTATATTAAACAACATACAGGTACTCTTCAAAAGTTTATCTTCCTGTAGTTTTCTTGGGCGTTATCATTTTAAGGAAATGAATCAAGAGGAGTTTTAGGAGCTTTTTTGGTGCCCGGAGTCAGTTGGGACTGTTGATAAACAACATGTGCAGCCCGCAGGTTTAACCACACAAATCTCCAGGCATTCCTCCTCTATTTTGACTGCTGCTTCTGCCTCCGTTGCTATAGAGACAGATCGCGCTGCCAAAAATGGAAGGATGATAATCATTTAGGGAGGAAGAAAATGAAGGGAAAAAAAAAAAAAAAGAGGAATGCAGCTAAAGAGGGTTATTTTTAAAGCACCCTTGCCACTTTTGGGTATCATATCCTATATATATGTATATACATATTAAAAGGGAGATGGCCAGAAGCTATCGACAGTGCTTTCTCCTTAGTTATCCTCACAAGTTTTGCAATATGAATGTGGGAAAAAATGCAGTACATGAAAACGAACACCTTCTGACAACTGAAGTAATATAGCCCAACTTGCTGGGTCAGAATTTCATGGCCTATTACCCTTTTAGCTGCACTGGAGTGCTTGGAGTCTCTGTTATTTTGCATATGACCACCTTCAGCGAAAGTATTTTTGGCTTTCACGCTTAATTTGCAAGAGGACCCGCAGCTCAGAGGGCAGCGCCGGCGGGCGCCCTCCC